TTTTTTTTTTTTTTTTTTTCTACAAAGATTGATTGTTAGTTAAGGAAGATTAGTTGTTAATGATAACTAGTTATCATAAATGACTATTGTACCTCACCCACATAGAATATAATTCATGAATAAATAATTTGTCTTGTTTAAGACGGCTTAATTTTTCCTTTTATGGTTTGAAATGGCAAAATTATTTTTTGTTCTTATTTGTATGTGACACTTTTGTAAAACTGTTTTTTACGGAACTTCATTTTATACTATTTTCAAAAGCTTTTTAGGATTGACTTCTCCATTAAAAATCTCAGTTCTCTCAAAAAAAAAAAAAAAAAAAAAAAACCTTCTACAAAAGAAGAAATTATTTTGTGCGGAGATAGGATGCAGAACATCGTCCGGAGCCACGTCAGCAGTGCCGAGCGGTACGGAGCAGTGCCGAGCGGTACGGAGCAGTACCGAACAAGGGATGACGTGACGCATTCTTATTGGTCTCGGAAATAATAATTAATCCTACAAGAGGCATAGGGTAAACAAACAAAACTTCATTTTATTTTGTTGCTATTTGTGGACAAAGTGTGTTTTTGAACATTGTAAAATTGAATCAAGATGGAGATTATTAGTATATTGAATTTGTTCCTTATGTTAATTTTATTCTTGTATTAATCTTAAAAGTTGAGAGGTGTGCTCTCTCCCTCTCCACCACCTCCGTTCATTCTCTTGAAACAATCATTCGACCACTGTTGCGTCCTGGAGTATTTGCGAAGGTAGAAAAATATATAGTTTAACGTCTTAGCATTGTACGAAGATCCAGCACACAATCAGATAAATGAGAGGGTGTAGCATTCATAAGAGACATTAGAGTTTTTACGTGGAAACCCCTAAAAAGGGGAAAAAAATCACGGGGCCTGGCCCAGTTTGAATGAATACACTAGTATTTGTAGTCGATTACAAATGAGGCCCTTCCTTGGGAGAAGGCCTTGGCTTGATGTCACAAATGTACATCATATAAAGTGCATTACATGGATGGAGTTACAATAATGTGTTTGTTTTGTCGGCACGACCATAGTCGATAGGATGGAGGTCGGAAAGACCGTTGTCTAGTGATCGAGGTCGGAAAGACCGTTGTCTAGTGATGGAGGTCGGAAAGACCATAGTAGGCGATGGAGGAC